CTACAACACCTCATGGATTGATTGGAACGGCTGGTTTGCATTGAGGAGGGTTGAAACTAGGGTTTGAAGTTTGCCCTAGTTTGACAAATTTTTGAAGTTTTGGAAAGTGTTTTTCTTGCAAGGTTTCGTGTTCTTCTTCTTGTCTGAATATGAAGAATATATAGGGGGAAAACTAGGTCAAGAAAGACGGGCTTGGACCTTTGTATGAACCCTTTTATTTTATTTAATAAATAGAATTTTGAATAAGACAAACATGGTGATTTGGTACAAAAATAACCTCCACAAGGTTTCCACATGAACTTGGGCCTCCAGAGTATTTGAAACAAAAGCCTCTTAAGCATTGTACTCTCTTTAATATTTATTTTTATTTAATTTGAATTTAAATGAATAAAATCAAAATAAATGAAATACAAAACTAAAAGGGTGTATGAATAGGTTTAGAGGTTCATTATGAGTTCTACGACACGTTTGAACCTTGAAAGATAAGCCCGTTAGCGCAAAATATCAAGTTTGCTCAATTTGGGTTTCATGCATTTTCTCAAAATGAGCTTTGGTTGAGAAAAAAAACTGATGAAGCATATGAAAGTTATGTTTGGTCAAAGTTCAGTTGACTTCTCCTTAAGAAAACCCTAATTTGGTAACTTTTGACTTTTGATGAATCTTTAGTTTTCTTGATGAATCATGATCAACACTTGATCAAATAATGAATGTGACTTTAAAATGTTGATGTTGATCAAAAATCTTGAAGTTTGACTGTATGTTGACCATAATTGACTTTTGTCCGACACAGTTGATTTTCAATCATCTGAGCAACTGAATGAGAAAACTTGTAATTCAAGGCTTGAAACTTGTCATGAGCCTTCTTTGAGACATATGAGAAACCATGGAATCCACTTGAGACATTATAAGCTCAATTTTCCTTGAGAAAAGTGAAATCCTAGTTGTATGTCAACTGCTTAGGAGGAGGGTTTGTCTGATCATTTCCTTGAGTAGTCTTGAGTGCTTGAGAACCCTTGGAGCATGAGGAGGCATCTTGAATCAATTATGGGAGGGACAATTTTGGGGTACAACATATACAAAAACAAATATATATACAAACTAAATGAGTTTACACAAAAGTCGGGATTATTCAACGAATATTAACAACAAAGAGTCGATAAGTGCAACAAAAAGTATATACAAAATAACTACATTTTTGCACTTATGAAACTCTCCCCAACCTGAAACATTGCTTGTCCTCAATCAAAGTAAAATAACCTAAAGAAACCAAAGACAGAAATCCAATAATCATGAATCAACACGTTTCGGAAAACACAAACAAATGTATGGTTCAAATAAAAAAACGCACACGCAAAGTAAATACTTACCACAATCATACAACAACAACAACAACATGTAAACGGAAGAAATCCTAAGTACAAAAATCATACTAAACATTCTAAAACAAAACAAGCTCAATCATGAATCACACCTAGTAAAAATTCATTGGTAGATGAAGAACACACAAAACTGAGAGACATAGACACTCATCCAACAATCTTGCAAACAAAAAACTAAATTATACATTCATCAAAAAATTCATATTGAAAATACAAAGGTACAAATCACAAGGGCTTTCCGAAGTTGTAATGTGGCTTGATTAACAAATAAGGGATAAGTCCTAAAGCTAATCTAAATAAAAACTTTCCTAAATCTAAGGGAGTGGTCAACTCACAAAGTTTCAAACAAAAAAATTCAATCAAACTTTTTCTTCATCCCAAATTTATCAAACCAAAACACGATACTTATTTGCATAACATTATTTCATACTCTCTTTGTTTTTGTTTTTCATAACTTTTCTCTTTTTTTCTTTCTTTTTCTTTTCTTTCTTTTTCACTTTTTTTCTTCTTTTCTTTTTCTTTTCTTTCTTTTTCACTTTTTTTCTTCTTTTCTTTTTCTTTTCTTTTTCACAACCTCATATCAATAGACACAAGAGCAAGAAAACAATTCTCTCCCTAACTTGAATTCAACCAACATTAAAGTGAATACTCCCTACTTTCTAAGGCAAGGTAAAAATTCAACTAAAAATCATAGTTGAGGGTTCAAGAAAACAAAGAATCAACATCCATTCAAAAAGGAAAACTAAACACTCATATACAAACATTAAGTTCAAAAAATAATATGGACATTGGCAAAAAGGCTTAAAGGGGTTAACAAAAATTCACACACTCATAAAGTGAATTGACTAATTGACTAGGTAGTTGTGCTCAAAATGAAATAAAATACCTTGATCATTTTCATGCATTCATACAATAAACACAAACAAAAGATTAAACATAATGAAATCGAGTTAAAATAAGAATTGTGGCCTCTAGTATATATGAACAATGGAAAAATTCCTCACATTTGGGGGTAAAAAGGAAACTAAAGTGATTCAATAAAAAAGACAGTATGTAAAAGAATGAATGACATGATAATTATACAAATGAAAAGTTTCTTAAACATGTTATGCTATAGAAAGCGATAAACGAGTACCTGACGTGTACCAACTTCAAAACATTATCATTACCATACATCCGCAAGTTGAAACACTCAAACTTGGAAAATCACCAATTGCACTTCAAGCTATCGAACCAAAATTTGAGTTCAAACAACAAACAAAAACAACGGATGAAACTGGAATAAACAAGTTGAAAAGTGAAGATTTAAGATTTTAGATCAGGTCCAATTTCAACTTGTTTAAACAACGATCAACACACTACCTAAACTAACAAAAATGAAAAATAATAAAAAAAATGCTTGTTTTACGTCGTAAGCTTGATGCCTGATATTTACAACTCACACGTTGCTTCGAATGATCCAAATGCTTCACCCTCGCCTCTGCTCTCATCTTTTCGAGCTCTAACCAGAGCTACACATCTAACCACACTTTTGGCAAACGTGAAAAGAAACAAATATATGAAAGTTTGAGAAACAAGTATGTAAACATGTAAAATTTACATGTTTGAGAAACATATACAAATAAATGTACCATTAAACATAAACGAGTTCATTTACAATTTCTATTTAACATATACATTAATTACAAAACTAAAAAACAAAAGAACTATCGCGATGCGAAACAATAAAAACACCAATCCTCGACAACGATGCTATTTTGCTGAAGCGGTAAAGCGGCAAGCAAAAAGTAAAGTATTATTTTACCAGGTGATATTTAGGTTATATCGCATCGTCTCCACATGGATTAGTGCTAGTGAATTTCCGTTCGACGAATCTCTCATTAATAAGTTTGAGGGGTTGAATGGGTTTAAAGGAAAAGGTTATTAACAGAAAATAAATTCATTCTTCCAAGGGGAAACTTACCAGGCATGCATATAATCCACTCCTCACAAACTTAAACCTATCGACTAGTTGTACTCAACCTACAATACTCATCAATGTCATCACGTGTCAAACACAACACCCATGATATCATCTCAGTGGAGATCTCTCAACTAAACTCAACAACGCAGAAGTCAGCCATGCTAATCGCGTCAACAATCTCTTAGTGCGACACAACCAACACATATACATTAATCACAGACACCCAAGTGAATAATAGAACTAAATCTATCTCTAGAATCTAGACACTATTAGACAATCATCCTAGATAAGAGTTTAAGAAGTATATACAACCCAAACCCCTAAGGACAGAGCAAAAATCCAGGACAATAATCGACAAAGATTTATAAAGCAAGATTTATACAACACCATGAGCGACAAATATACACGAGTTCAAAGTAAATATATATACAAACTTAACAAATAAAGAATACATAAAGAAGAAGAGAAATGAACCATAAATATACCAGTTGTCAGCACCAATCGAAGAGCAATCCACCCTGAATCATCCGTATGCAAGCTTCATAGTTGTTTTCTAAGCTAATCCTAGAGAAAAATGAGGGTTGATGAATTTGGGAGCTAAAACTATCCCCAAACCCATAACCTAACAAATGAAGAATAAATGAAATATAAAGAAAATTATGATCCGCACGCGTCACCCAATGCTCCAAAAGCGTCGCACGACGGTGACTATTAAATACAAGGCCCAACTTGTGCCACGTACGCAACTGGCCAAAAATATCTTCTCTCACCCGGCGATAGACACGCGTCGCCCAACGCTGCTACTTATTCCTCGCCCAGCGATGCTGCAGTGAAGCAAGGCAAAAGCTACTGGAAAATTGTTCCAAACTTCTCACCTCACCATCACCCAACGACGCAGACGCGATGCATCTCTCCAGGCCATCGCCCGACGATGCACACCAGAAAAGAAACTTTTGTTGCTTTCTCTATACAACTTTAAATGACTTCTTCTTTTGCCTTATTCTTTTATTGATCAAAATTGAATCTTGAAGCCTTTATTCCTATTGATCTAACAATGCTCAAGTACCTATAAAATAGATACGAAACTATCAAACGATACACTATGTATACGAAAACACAAATATATACAAACTAAACGAGTTTACACAAAAGTCAGGATTATTCAGCGAATATTAACAACAAAGAGTCAATAAGTGCAACAAAAAATATACAAAATAACTATATTTTTGCACTTATCAAGTTTGCGACCAAGTTAGCCTTAAGCTCTGACACCATGTTGTTCAATTTCATCTTTGAGCGAAAGGCATATTTTAAATACTACTTAAAGGTATCCTTTGAGACTGCCAACTCCATGGCTTTAGTATCCACCTTTCCTAGCTTAATAGCCCAAGAATCCTTCTCCTTTTGCAAGGACTCAAGCAGCTCCTAGACCTTGGCATAACCCTTCTCATAATGTTTATGCTTTGTTCTTAGTGCATTCTCGAACTAGTCTCGCTTATCCCCATCGACACTCTCTAACATCAACCACTTAGAAAATGATTCTCCTTCATATTAGATAGCTTAGGGTATGACTTGGTGTTGAGAACCAATAGTCTTTAGGAAACTCTTCGGAGAATAGGAGGTGGGAGTTAGTAAAATTAACATCATTAAAACCAAAGTCATTCCACAAAGAAGACTGGAAAGGAGGACCCTCGCCTCCCGAATACTTTTTGAACATCAGCCTCCTCTAAGGTAGGCAGAACATATCTATCCCTAGCAACCATGGAAGAATCCCCCTCATGTTTTTGGGCCTTGGTACTTGGTAATTCAGGGGGGTGGCCTTCAGCCTGCCCTTTTGTCCCATTGGCAACTAGTCCCTTAGGATGGTTGTGAGGGCTATTAATTTTCCCACGTGCCGCCTTGCCTTATCCCATATCTTCTTCCACTCCTTTAAAGATATTTTAGCCACCTGATCTACAAGACAATAAATAAGGGTCACACGTCTCTAAAGGGAACCTATGAAAACATCAAAATATTCAAAGCTTACTCAGGTACTGATTAAGGGAGTCACCACCCTCCTGCCACTGTTCAATCATTACAGGAGACTCCATGGCTTTAAATAGCTCTAGGAGGTGAACCATTTTGGCCTATCTGGATGTGAGGCACTTATAGTTGTACCCTATAATTGCCACGGGGTTGTCTGTCCAGGCCAAATGGAAGAGCGGGGCGTCATCCACCCCTATAATGACTTGGGAACCCTCTCGTCCTTTCATCATACAAACTTGTATCTCCAGTTATTGTAATGATTGGAGTAGGGTTTGAATAAGACCTTCCCAAAAGGTCACTCAGGGTTACCCAAACCCCTTATGTAGAAGGCCTAGTGGCGTAAACGGAAAAGAACACCCCTACAGTGGGGGAAATCTCCAGCCTTTGGCACACAATCTTGAATTTCCTAACAATGTCTCAAGTTTTAGGTGCTAGCCGAGAAGGTGAAATTTTAAAGACTCTCATAACTTCCACCTTGAAAGGGGAAAAGGGAAAAGAATCCTCATTTCCTTAATGAAGGGGAGGTAGAAGTAGAAGTAATGAGAGGATGAGTCAGAAGAGATGACCATGTTAACCCTTTCTGCCGGTGAACAAGCCTCCAAGACAATCATCTCTTCATCTTCTAAAGAAGAGACACCATCCTCCTTCCAAAAGGATATTATCTTCCCCTCAACAATATAAGAGGATCAAATATCTTTGACCTCTTTAGTCCCTAGAGATAGGGCAACCATTATCTCTTTGTTTCCTTGGAACACATAAGATGAAAAGAAATCACTACCACCATTACAATCGCTACTAGGACTACTAAAGCCCTCGATCTCACAAAATTAAAAGCTCTACACTAGTCTAGAGCCCTATGGAAATGTCTTTTGTCTAAATCCATAACCATTTATATTATGAAGGGGAAAGAGAGAAGGAGTTAATACCTGGAAGAGGTTTGAATAACATGAAGTTGGAAGAAGCTCACAGAAGGTTACACGAAAAAAAGAGAGTAAAGAAAATGAAAAAAGGTAACAAAGAAGTCCTTTTATAAGGAAGGTTGAACTATGCTCAGAAGTCGTTTAGGCTTTCCCTCGAAAATCTTAGAATACCTCTAGCACGTGTAAGGACCAGTTCTATTTAGCACCTCAATGGTAAATCATCATTGCTTACATTAAATATAATCTAGTGCTTCCATCACATGACTGATGCTTGATATCCTTCAACTAACACACAAGCTACACGAAAAACACCTAGCAGGGGCTTGATGACTCATCCCTAACTGAGGGACACACCCATAACTGAGGAACTCACCCATAACTACCACACTTATCTGAAAGGAATAAATGGCTTAATACCATGAGAAAGAGCTTAAACACTTAGACTTTTACAAGTTCTCGTGCTTGAGGGACCACATAACTATATATTTCTAAAGGCTCACAGTAGGGCGATGCAGGGCCAATCCTCATCAGGCGACCACCCCAGAATATACCGCCTAGGCGTAACCCCCACTCAATAGATAACTCGACCCGATGAGAAACGTGGAGAATGACATGTACATAGCCTATAACCACATATGCAAGAAGTCCTAGTCAGGATTCTTAAGAAGTAGGTAGTAAACAACTTCCCTAATCAAGGTGGGGTGCCTACTACTTCTTAGGAGTTCCCAAATCTAGACTCATATGCCTCTATAAATATCTCATCCTTAGGATTGAGAGACATATTCTGAATTAACTACAAAATACCTTCAAAATATCAAAATTTTCACCCTCGTGAACTTGCTCTTGCCTCATAAAAAATACCTCAAAACATGACCTCACCACAACGAACTTGCGCTAAACCACCGCAAATTCTATAATCTCTAACCACCCCTAGTAGCATATGACACATATGTAATTTATTTTAGCAAGTACAAAATATTTGCAAATATATTATTAAAATAAAATATTATACAACATATATATATATATATATATATATATATATATATATATATATATATATATATATATATATATATATATATATATATATATATATATATATATATATATATATATATATATATATATATATATATATATATATATATATATATATATATATATATATATATATATATATATATATATATATATATATATATATATATATATATATATATATATATATATATATATATATATATATATATATATATATATATATATATATATATATATATATATATATATATTTAACTTTATAATATAGTTTCTGCAGTGTTATTAAAAAAAAGTTGATTCTTTTTTTTTAATGTTACCTAGTCTATCCACCAAGTCAATGTCTTGAGAAATTTTTTCATCAGTATGTGTTTTGACTCAATTTCCGTCACTCTGTTTTCATTTCCGCTCAGTTTATTTTATGATATCAAACATAATTTAATACTAGTGTATGCTTTCGGTATTTAGTTTTTATTTACGGAAATAAATTTTCATGTTCAAAACAACCTTTATTTCCATCTTCCGAGTTGATTCTCTCGTTTGTGATACTCATGGCTGCTACTAGAGAATCTACTTTCCAAGTGTATTTTTACCAACTACATCAACTATGTAATTGAAACCAGGTGGAGAGCAAACATACTTGTAGAATAAGCTTTCTTTTTAACCAGGTTCAAATCAAATTCATCTAATGATAACTTGATAAGTGTTACAAATACTACATTGTATTACTTGTTGTCCATTTTCCATTTTAAGTATCTTTGTACAATCTCTAGTCCAATGAGTTTCTTTACCACAGGCATCGTTGCAGGGACCCCCAATTGAAGTGTTGAGTCAGATTCATCTAAGTTGCTCCATGATAAGAGCTGTTTCCTGGCTTCTTTGACTGCTGATCTTGTTGCACAGTGAACTGAAGCTGCCAGAAGCAAGGGTGGCTCGCCAGATGCTGCACCAACAAATATCAATTATTATTCAAGATTTTCAAGCTAACAAAATGACTTAAGCCTTTTCAATCTTATTAACAGTTTCATACAAAACAGTTTATTTTAAAGTTACTATCAGGGAGCTATGTAGCACCGACACTTTAAATTTAAGACATGTCCATTGTCAAATATGTGTCACTGTCTTACACACTAACACGAGTACACGACAGCGACACTTTAAATTTAACAAACGCTTAGACAAAAGTTTAATACTACATTTTGGAAATATTTTTGAACATACCCTTTGAAGAGAGAACTCTATGTTTGTGATGCCCACTGTTGAGGATTTCAACATTAAACTGTTGAGGAATAGTGTCTATTGTTGGGATTTTGTAGTTCCATGTTCCATCTGCCAACACTAAACCATCAAAGTTTGTTTCATATTCTTCAAGCATGAAAAATCCTAACCCCTGTATGAAAGATCCTTCAATCTGCAAAATGCAATTATATGATTATCATAAGAGTTTGTCAACCCTGCATAAAAGGCCTTACAATACGTATGTGTGTGTATTACCTGTCCTAAATCCACAGCAGGGTTGAGACTTTGTCCACAGTCATAAATAATATCAGTTTGCAGAAATCTTGTCTCACCTGTCAGAAGATCTATTTCCACCTGAGAAACAATTTCAAGTATTTATCATAGAATTATATGGTAATTTGGTTCTTTTAACATTGAAGGGAAGTACAAACATTTTGATATCTGATATTATGCATAAGAAACAAACTCACCTCACTAACTGCAGCACCATAATTGAGGTAACTAATGGAACTATTACTTGGTACATAATACGAAGATGCTGATAAATTCACAGCTTGCATGTATGCCTGTAAATTAACGAACTGTTAGAAACACGGTAATTAAATATTGAAAGTAGAACTCTTTTATTTTACACTAGTAGCTACCTGAATAATAAGATCCTCCCACTTGATACAACTCATTTCCTCTTGGAGCTTATTCTTGATAGGTTTTAGTCTTTCAACTAAGATATTGCAGCTAAGCCTCACAGCTTCACAACTTGCCTCTGATGTAGTGCTACCAGCAGTTAACCCCCCTTGAATCATGCTCAATGTATCAGCTTGTATAACCCTTACTTTATCCAAGAGACTTCCACTTCCATCGCATTGAATCGTGCCGAGCACAAACGCAGCCATCTGTTTCACCTTCGTCCATAAACCCTGACCCATTTCAATTCCTCCAACCTCAACAACAACAGAACCGTCCGATAAAATACTAACTTTTCCTGGTGTTGGTCTTAGATTCAGCTCATACACCACCGGTACACGAGATATTCCCCTTTTCTTCCAAGTGTTAATACTGTTAAACTCTCTCACTTTGTCTACTCTCAGTTCATACTTTGCAGAAACACCTATCTTATTCCATATTAAATGCATGGTATATTCAAGAGGCTCACCACAAGAGTCATCATAGAATTTCTTAAGACTTGTGTAAGTGTGAAGATTAATGCTTCTGACAGAATCTACTTCCATTGAGAGTGTAGCTGCAACATTTTCTATTATACTGTCAGCGACGAAAGATCCTTGTAAATCCCCTGGGGCCCTCATTGCAGATCTACTAGGATGATTTGTTCTGCATAATTTTACATCCAAATAGAGAGCACCCCAGTCATACTTTCTAAGAGTGGCAGATATGTTGCGTGGAATTATCACGCTAACATCGGGATAAGCCCCGGCGTTGACCAATATCTCAAGGTGTAATGCAGTAATCTTCCCATTATCCTTAAACCCGACACTATATGTTATCTTCATTGGATGTCTTCCTCCAGCCATTATCATATCTGTCTTTCGATTTAGATACATCCTTACAGGCCGCTGCAATTTGTGCGCTGCGAGTGCACAAGATACAGCACCCTGCAAATGACAGCATTTTATGCTGGTAAGTAAATAGCATGCATAAAACAGATCAGTAGTTCGATAGATGACTTACCGCTATAGATTTTACGGCCTTTCCTCCAAAACCTCCTCCAACTCTTCTTGTAATTACTCTAACATTATTTTCAGGAATACCAAGGCAACTGGCTATAGTAGAGTGTACAAACTCAGGGCTTTGACTTGAACAGTAAACAGTAATGCAATTGTCCTCATCCGGTACAGCGAGCGCGGTTTGCGTCTCCATATAGAAATAGTATTGAGATC